TTTTCCACATCCAAAATGTAACTGTTATATGTAAACAATGTTTGTAAATCCCAGGCCATGATGATGATCTCAATAAAGATCGAAACGTGGCACGGTAAAGAAAATGTTTTTCTGAAACCTACATCATACCAGACCGCATCTCACGATTTGTAAATAAATATTCCCCCCTTTTTTCATTTATTTTTTACTATAAACTGTTACAATTTATTATAAATTATTATGCATTTTACTGAGGTAAAATTTGATTAAAGGATTTTGAAAAATAAATGGTGTTTTCCATAATTGTGTTTACTGGACACAATAATTTTTTAATCAATTAATTCCGCGTATAATGCCCAGGGCTGGCTAAAACCTCTGAGCACCTATTACTCGTACCTTATGACCTGTTAGTCAATAAGGTTGTCACTAATTTCATAAGGAATTTCACTCCATAGATGTTGCAACTGCGCTCAGTTTTTGCAGGTCAATTGGCTGCGGATGGTGATCGAAAAGCCTTCATTGCAATGCATCCCACATGTGCTCAATAGGATTGAGGTCTGGAGACAGTGGGGAAAAAGGCAGATGGGAAATTATCAGGTTTTCTAAACGTGGATGTACAACTCTACCTATACCAAGTCTGCCATTGTCGTTCCAGAATTCGAAAAACCCTGCCAATGAGATCCCTGGATTGAGGGATGCATTCCTCGATAATTTCTTGAAAATATGGACTGCGGTGAAGTGGCTTTCAATAATATGGAGTCCAATTCGTCCTACACTGTAAATTCCAGCCCAGACACCGCCTCCTCCAAACTACACTGAAAGTAGCACGAACTTGGCCATTGTACGCATCACCTGTTCTCGGTTGACTCTTCGGCGCCTGGTATCACTATACAAATAGAAACGCAACTCATCAGTAAGAATGGCAGCATTCCAATGAGATCTTCTAAGCGTCCGTTGCATCATATTCTCCTTGAGTGCTGATGACAAGCTGTAGCTGCAGGTCGTCTAAAAAGGGCATATTATGTAAGGCCAACTTCCCACAAACAATAATGAATCGTTTGTGTTGATAAAGCCTTTCCAAAACATCGTGTACTTCATTTAGGATCTGGCGAGCAGTATGGAAAGAGTTCCGTCTTGCAGCAGTGACAATATTTTTGTCCTCCCTTAGCTCATAATGCGCTGAGATCCAATATCAGGCCTCTTATGGGCATTTCCAGGCTCTCTGAATCGGGCTTTAGCCAGNAAAAAGTTAGTAAAATTTTTAAACTAGGTTTTAGAATAGCTTTTAGAAGTACGGGTTCACTTAAAAACATCCTCTCAAAACCTAAAGACAAAGTAGACAACTTGGCAAAAAGTGGGGTTTACCCTCAATTGTAATGATTGTGATATTAAATATATAGGACAAAGCAGTAGAGAAATAAAAACAAAAGTAAAAGAACACTCGCCTAAATCGAGCAAATTTTCGGAATTTAAGGATCATCTAAAAGAAACAAAACATAACTTCAACTCAAATCTAAATACAAGAGTGTAGTTTCAACAAAGGAAAAGAATTAGATTGGTTTGAGAAATTTGAAATTAAAAAATGTAAAATTGAACATGGTGATAAATGATAAATCAGCTGCTAATTGGAACGTCGCGTTGGCGGAGGTATCAACAGGTTCACTTTGGCAATTCATGTCGAGAGACGTGGTTGTAGAAGTCCTTCAACCTGATGATGAGGTAAAAGGCTCGAAATCCGGATCGTTGCAAAACAACTTACTGTGAGTAGGAACTATCTTTTTAAAAAGGATTGAAATGTCCAATTAAAACAGTAAAAAGTGGACACAGATCAAATGAAGTATTTGTAGTGATGTTCTCCGACATTTGTTGCTGTACTGCACTCTGAAGCAGCTCCTAGTTAAATAGGATTGTACTATCAGGATTAAAAGAGTGTCCTGGGTTTATTTACATTTAGAGGATTCCGGGTGCATTATCATTTCAACCCAAAACTACCAAAGCGATATTCTATGTTTTGTAAAGTCTGTGAAATATTAAAATATATCCAAAACTTTGAAAAGTTGGAAGTTAATATCGTGAATGATGAGGACGGAAACCGAATTAATTAGAAAGAATAATGTATGAAGAGTTTTCAAGTTGGCTGTAACCTTTGTTTATTTAAACGTGCAAGGGACGTGTACTATAGCAACCCCTTTTCTAAATTAATTTAAAAGAGGTGTTCGTCCACCCGAGCTACGTTTTAATTCATTTCAAAAGCAATATTTCAAGTCACACGTGTTCCCGCCGCGGTGAGGAGGGTCCGGCAGAAATTGACTCGGCCATAGGACAATTTGTATATAAATAGAGGGCCGGAGCATATTGAATTATTCAAAGTGAACGCTTAGGAAAAAGACGGGGGTTTGCATGTAAATAGTGGTCGGTCAGGGGAGAAGCATATCTTGTATGCAAATGTAATCTGTCACTCGCACTCGCGCTTAATTGGCTAAATAAGGACGGAATTGAGTCGGTTTCTCTTTATTTTGGCGAGAAAGCGTATTTATTCATGATTGCCCTTGGCGAGCGGGAAGGGATACTAAATCGGACTGTACTATGACTGTCCTATGTCACGGTTGCAGTTGCATAATTGCACCGCAAGTGCACCCCTTGTAACCTAATTGCATACCGAGTGACCGACGGACGTCCACAAGGTATAATTAATCACACCGAACTGTCTTCGGCCCAGTGGCAAAATGCATTTTCGATCTAGTAATTAATGGCTTTAGCTCTTTCATCGCATTCGATAACAGGGCTTTTCAGAATTTCCAATGAAAATGGAAATTTAGCAGGGTTAGTAATTTAATTTAACGACTAGGTTTCTATGCAAATAAGAATTCGTCGACTCTACGATAAAATAAACCAAAAACCAGTTAGACATATTCAATTAATGAAAATAAATGCTTATCCGTTTATAAAAAGCAATACTAACATAAACTTGCTACATTATGTATTGTTATATTTTATTTCATGTTTTGTTTGTCATTTTGTTTCTATCATTTATTTTTCATTGTAGTATTTCTTTTATTTTAGTATTGATGAAGGCAACCAAAAAAATCCTTCAATTATGAAAAACCAATATGTTATCAATTATTAAAAACAATTTATATGTCCAGTTTTGTGGAGCACTAATTAGTATAATTAATAACAACAATCAGATATAATCATCAATAGAATATTTATTATTTTTAATTTATATATACCAAAATGCAGCCACATTGCACGGCTGTTGACAGTATTTCCTCTGCTTTAGAAAACAGAGAACTGCTCAGGTGGTCCTTAGACATGTCCAAAACTTTTGGCAAGATCATGCACTGGGAGACCTCTAAAATCTAAAACAATTCTTACACATTCCTTATTACCTAAAACTAAAATCCTAACAGTTCGTTGCTTCAATGTGCTGCACTAAGTTATCTATTTGTGAGACAAGACCGATCCAGGACATTTAACAAGGGAGCATTCTTGATCACACTGTAATATTTGTACTGTTGACATCCCTACAATCTAAACACCATTCTTACAACGCGGGCGATACCGCAGTTTTATCTTCTAACTCCAATCCTAGCCCAACCATATTTGACATCCCGGTGTATATTTAACTCATCGAAAAATGGTGAGAAATGTGGAAAATGAAACTTAATGAGGATAAATGCACTCAAATTATGTTCACGATAAGCAAACAGATCTGCCCAGGTTTACAGCTTTATGAGCAAAGAACTACTGACATCTACCCAGGAAGTAAACAATTGCCTGACTGGGATCTCCCACACAAGATTCAAGCAACACGAACTAAACAATTTGGACAACTATGAAAACAACTAGGACCGAAATCAGCCTGAAATATGAAGGTCAAACTAACACTGTACAAAACATTACTTATTTTTACGCACGGAGGGAGCTGGGGGTTACTACGAAGCCTTCTAATATCAACCGAATTCAAGCATCCCAATCCAAAGTCCTAAGAACTCTTCAATCTCCACAGTTCCTAATATCCTATCGACAACGACCTTAACGTTCCCTTCGTTAAAAAACTGATCCTTCCCGTTTCCTCAAGTTTTACTCCCATTTTTTAACCCGTCCTAACCCGACTGCTCAAGCCTTTTTGACCACCACCCAACCCAAGAACCCTCCACGTTGCACAACGAGGATGGCCTCGAGGGTTCCTCACTCTTAATAACAAATTAAGTGTTTCTGGTGCAGTGTGTTGTTACTTTTTTCGTAAATGAAGTAGCTCTGGACAGGATACAAATGAACAAATATATACCACACATACAATCACATATCCATCTATATCCTTTTATGTGGATGAAATTTGGTACTATACAGATTATTATGAATGGAAATTTTGTATTATATTTGTACTTACTACTCTTCTGTACATATCAATATTGAATTTTTTAATAATATTGTTAATGAAATAGCATCTTTTTATGATTTCTGTCACAGAGCACTAAATATTAAGCACGTTTCCATGATAAAAAATGTTACTACTGACATATTTATCTCGACCAATACCTTTCATAAATATTAATTAATTGAAAAAAGTTAATTGGTCAATCGGACCCCGAACTGTAATGGATTTAATAATTAAACTGAAGTATATCTTCACGAAAGCTCTCCGTGGCCATTTCATTTGCCGCCGAGAATCCAATCCGATTACACATTTGAAAAATGGCGAAAAGAAGGGAAAATTCGAGAGGTGAGGTTGAGATGGGAAGTTAGTGTCCGAGCGGATCGAAGTCACGGTAGCTCAAGTGGTAGAGCAGCGGCGTATTTAGCCCAAGGCCGTGGGTTCCAATCCCGATCGTGACGCTGACTTTTTTTCTCGACCAATACCTTTCATAAATATTAGTTAGCACTGGCAATTGAATTTCTTGGAATGGGGTGGTGTTTGGAAAAAACACACCTGAAAACAGGGAAATTTATATCTAATAAGCTAAGAGATTCTTTTATTCCTTCGGAAATCTCACTACAGATGACTAAGATTTCTGAATGAAATCCATGTGTTTTTAATTTAAAAAAATCTTAGATCCTAGAAGTAGCAAGTAGATTTATTTCTGATTAGATTTCAAGATGACACGAATTTGCCCAACCCAGGAATGTATTACTGAGTTCAAGTTGAACGTAAATCCTCCTAACTTCGATGAGTTCGAAAGAGACCCTAAGAGCACTGTGCAGAAAAACAATGTTGTCAAAGATAACCTATCTGATCACTCGGAGCCAGAGAGAGACGTGGAATACCCTCGTGGAAACCCTTTATGGAGCAGTCTTAAAAATGACTACAGATTCATAAATAATGATATGATAGAAGATTTCTACGTACGACGAAAATTAGAAAACCCAAATAATTTCTGGGATACGAACAATACCACTTACCTTGGGAAAAAGACCTTCCCAACTCTTATGCAAGGCATGGTTGAATGTCTAAAATTAGCCAAAGCAAGAGGGATTCTGATGACCCGTAGGTTCAAAATAGACGCTGTGGACTTCATTAGTGAGTACGTGTACAATCATGACCCCTACTACCCAGAGAGGCTTAGCGAACCCAAGAGCATTTTCGACATAGAGAAATTTAGGAAATTAGCCATCAACGGCGAACGAGGACACTGCCCGACATCTTGGGATTGGGATAGAGAGCAAGCCGCAATCGTTCTTCAGAAGAACCTCAGGGGCTGGCTCGTCAGGAAGCGACCGGAAGTGCAGAGAGTCAGAATATTCCATAAAGCGTTGAAATTCCCATGGAAAGTCCAACCGACATCCGTCTATCCTGACAACATCTACGACCTCGTTGAAATCTATCCGGAAATCCACTTGCCGAATAACAGTAGGTGTGGTCTTACATATGAGGATTACCTCAGTCGAAAAAAGGCCGCCTGGGAAGAAGAAAACAAAAAGAAATTATCAGAGGAAAGAATCAGACAATTTCTTAGAAAGATGACTATTAGTTCACATGCCGACGATTGAACGATATAAGCTAATGTAACTGACTTCTGATGTGTATAAGTTAATTTAGAACAAGGCAGGTTTCCTTAAAACGATCTTATTTCCATCGAGTCATGAGAAAGATGAGTTCACTCCCGTTCTTCCCTCTTTAATATAAATTCGGGTAATCATTGAAAGAACATGCAAGATGTCCCTTCTGCTACGCTCAACAGGAGTGAGGAAAAATACACATAATTATTGTAGGTACAAGTTGGCATTTTATTTGATGTGCATAACAATTAAGCAGTATAATTAACAGTAAGGGGTGTCATTTAAAAATGCTCTAGTTTTGAATTGATTCGAATATACCATTAAGGATTAATGGTTTATTCATTCTCCTCGTTTGAACGTTTTAACTTTTTTTTCGTGACCGAAACGTGATAGGTTACTCCATGCAATGACTGTGCTGTCCTGCAGCTATGGATTGAAAGGTTTAACGTCCTCTAAATACTAAAAGGGTCGAGACATTGTTGGTTTACAGCCGGTGCGCCCGAGGCAGATTGATTTGTCACAGTGAACACGAGTCCGGGACACGAGCCCGATCAATTACTTTGAATTTTTTCTCTCAGCACCCTAGTTTTCATTAACGTCGGATCTATAAGTTTGGGAAAAAGAACGGATTAGTTATTTTTGTATTTTTTGTATCCGATTCTCTGTCGGTCTCTAAGACTTTCTTTTCCCATCACAATAAAACCACCGACGCAGTCGATTGATCTCCTACGTCTTGTACGTGACAAATGCTTCAAATTGTTTTACAGTTGGTTAGACGACAGGTGATTATCAGATTAGTGACATAACCACTATGAAACCATATGTTATTTATTTATGTACAAAGTGTAGATTTTAGAAGTAGTGAGTAGATTTTTTTTTTTTTTTTTTTTTAGTTTGGATTCGAGATGACTCGTCTTTGCAAGGAATTGGATTGCTTACCGAAACAAAACCCTTTTCATTTGACACCTGTACATTTTGATGAGTTCGAACAAGAGCTGAACACAGTGTTTCCACCAGAAGGACTAAAGGTGGATAAAGAGACACTGTCTGATAGATCGGAACCCGAGCATGATTTTCCCGAGCCCCGAGGCAATAGAACTTGGTATAATATCAAAAAGAAATACAAAAATAGGTTAACAGAAAGGCTGGAGTTTTTCACAGAAATGCGCCGAAAAAAAAATTCCGAACGTTGCTCCGATTCGAACAAGACTCTCTACATCGGCCTTGAAATCTTCCCGACACTCATACCAGCCATGACCGAGTGCCTAAAAGTGGCAAACAACAAAGGAATTCTGATGCTCCCGAGATTCGGGATTGACGCTGTGGACTTCATCACCGAGTACATGTACAACCATGATCGCAATTATCCTGAAAGGTTGGCTGAAAACAAGAACATTTTTGACATAGAGAAATTCAGGAAATTGGCAGCTGAGAGTTCACGTGATGACGTGCCGAGATCTTGGTGTTGGGACAAAGAAAAAGCTGCAATAGCACTCCAGAGATTTATCAGGGGCTGGCTAGTGAGGAAGAGGCCGAGCGTGCAGAAAATGAGACTATTTTGGAAAGTACTCTGCTTCGAAGAGAAGGTCCGAAAGGGTACTAATCTAGCCAACAATATGCCCGATCTGGTAGAAATCTTTCCAGATATCTACTTGCCTAAAGATAAAAGAATCGGCCTATCTTATGACGAATATTACCGCCAGCGCAAATCCGATTGGGAAGAGGCGTACAAAAAAAGATTAACGGAGGATAAAATAAAACAACTCATAAGAAGGATGACTAGTGGTTAACACCGGGAATAACTTGGAAATACTCACATATACTGATTAGATACTCTAGTCAATTTAAATACAGTCTCTCGTAACCTAGAAACAAGTGTTTTTAACAAATTCCTCAAATATTCCTTCGACTAACTTTCTATCTACCTATTTCACCCATTTCCTATCAATCTCAGCTACCTATCATTTTATCTACTTACCTACGACTATCCGTATAACCATTTCTATTTTTGAATGTGTTTGTTTTTATCTCCCTTTACTTTTGCTCATGCATTATCACTAATTGTTCGATTTTATTTATTATTTTTCGTTCCATTTCTCACTCTTCTCTGTCTCTCTCCCACACTCACCCCCTCTCTCTTTAACTATTTATCTATCTCTCTATTTATCTACCTACCTATCAATCACTCCAGCTGCCTACCACGAATCAATCTACTTATCTATCTACATCTATCTATTTTTCTATTTATGTTTTTCTCTATGTTTATCTAATTTAAGCTCTCTATACATTTGTTCACGTTTTATCACTGATTCTTCGATTCTATTTATTCTCTTTCGTTCCATTTCTTATTGTCTCTCTCTCTCTCTCTCTCTCTCTCTCTCTCTCTCTTTCTTACACACACACACATATATACTTTATCTCTGACATACCCTCCCCTTTCTCTCTCTCTCTAACTATTTATCTATCTGTCTATTTACCGACCTATATATCAATCACTGGAGGTACCTACCATCAATCTATCTACTTACGTAACTACGTCTTTTCTCATTTATGATTTTCTCGGTGTTTATCTTCTTCAACTCCTCTATATATTTGATCACGTTTTACTACTTATTCTTCGATTTTATTTATTCTTTTTCGTTCCATTTCTCGTTCTTCTCTGACTCTGTCCGCTTTCTTTTACACACTCCCCCTTTCTTTGTTACTTTTTATCTATCTATCTCTCTATTTATCTACCTACCTATCAATTACTCCAGTTCTACTTATCTATTTTTTTATTTATGTTTTTCTCGATGCTTATTTACTTCAACCACTCTATACATTTGCTCACGCATTATCAATTATTTTTCGATTCTATTTATTCTCTTTCGTTCCATTTCTATTTCTTCTCTCTCTCTCTCTCTCTCTCTTTCTCTCTCTCTCTCTCTCACNCACACACACACACACACACACACACACACACACACACACACACACACACACACACACACACACAAGAATAATAACACCTACTTTCTCTCTCATACATTCTCCCCATTTCTCTCTTTAACTATTTATCTATCTATCATTCTATTTATCTACCTACCTACCTATTAATCACTTCACCTGCCTACCACCAATCTAATTATCTAACTACGTCTGTCTTTTTTCCACTTATGTTTTCCGCGATGTTTATCTGCTTCAACCCCCCCCCCTTGTACATTTGCTCACGTTTTATCACTTATTCTTTGATTCTTTGTATTTTCGTTCCATTTCCTCTCTTTCCCTCTAACTCTATCACACTTTTTTTCTCTCCAACTCTAGTACAATTCCAACTCTAAAAAACGTTTGTCGAAAAAGTTTTCAAATATTTTATTCTATCTACAGGTATGCTTTAAGAGACAACGACCTATTATAACATCATATAATAATTATTCTGTGTAACAATTTTTCTGAATGGTCTATGTTTCAAAGTGTTTATCTTTAAATTAAAATTATTTCCACCCAAAGAACAGGATTGACGGTTAAAAACTAGTCGTATATTCTGTGTGTAATAAGTCTATTACAAGTACAGCTTTTACGTTTTTAGTTTTAAGTTTATTTTTTGTTGAAATTAGACGTTTCATCAGGCCAGAGACGATTTAAAAAATTGTCACCCATGCATTTTTGTCTCAAGTAATGAAAACATAAAAGCTCACCCATGTGCATTAATTGAATGTTTATTATAAGATGGAAGGCCGGATGAGGATAAAATTATACTAATTTAGAGTTTTATCACAATGAATAATAACATACACACTGCCGGCCATTGTCCAACCAGTCTCAAGCCTGGGACTTACGCCATAGAAAGACGTTTACCTCTTAATTATTTCACTTTATTTCATAACAATGTACCATTTTACGGAGTATTACCCAACAAGTCACAGTGCAATTTGTTGCATAGACGTGTAATTCCCTGCTCCGTACACGGAACCGGTCGGAGAAGCAAATAGTCGACAATTGAATATTTGATTCGATGACAAAAGCTAACCACGACTCGGAAGCAGGTGGGCCAACAGCAGTCACGGCAAACAATGATTACCAATTATTTTATTATTAAAGGAGACGTTCCGGGACATGGGTTCGATTTGTTTGGTGAGAAATGCTCATTTGTTTCCCGAGTCACAATTACACCGCCGGTTTGCATGATCTGTTTATTTATGGATTTTTCAGCTCCGCCCACGCTTTTGCTCTGTGAACGGGCATCCTTAATTTATTCGATACAACAACAGATACCCTCGTTATAAAAATATGCGCGTATTCATGTTGACGATCCGCTGTACATTGATTTTTTTTTTCATCGAGTAATCGGCAGATACCACTATTTTATACGGACGGTAAATGTCGAAGAAAACCAATGAAATTACCAATTTATTAATTTTTACAAAACAGAATTTAGAATTCAGACAATTCCATGACAACTAACTATATATGAGCCCCCCCCCCCCAAGATATGAGCAATCAAACTCATTAGGGAAATACACTTCTCTTTCAAGCATAAATTCAGGCCTTCAATGATTGTGCCCTAGAAAATCTCAAAAAAAGTTTCACTTGCAAAAAAAATCCTAAAAAGATCGGATAGTCAAGCAGCTATTAAAGCTTTATCGCGTAAAAAAATTACATCAAAACTAATACTTTTTACGATGAGGTTATTCGAACTTCTGTTAGTGTTTTTGAAAAAAAAAAAAACCATTTGTAAATATGTCTGGTTTTAATTCAGGGCCGTTGGATACGAACCCGGGACCTTTACCTTACAGTGAGTAGACACCTTAACCGTCGCGTCTACCAACGCCCCAAAAGGAAGTTCAAGGATATAGATAAAAAAGCTGAATGTCGACAAACATAAGTAGAAATGTAACTCTGAAGTATTTTATTTTTTTAATGTGTAATTAATCAATATGAATAGAAATTATTACTTTATACTTATGACTTGTTTATTTGTATTTGTAATTTTACATAAATGTGTAAACATTTGTTTATTTTTTGGTAAATATGTACAGTTTTTATCATTTTTTTAATTACTTTGTCTCTACATGTTAGCATTTTTTTTCAACATCCATAAGAAATTCAAAATGAGTTCGAAGAGAAAACCGAAATTACCTTTTGATACTCCTTACACTCACTTCATCCGAAGCAATGAAAGCAACATTTAATAATTTTTAGAAAGTTCTTGCAGTCCTCGGAAATAGATACCTAAACAA